GATCTGGAAGACCTTGAAAACTGGAGTAATAGAAATGGAATGATAGTGCAAACTGCAAGGTCATGCACTTTAGGGACTAACAACAAGAATTTTTGCTAGAAGCTGGGGACTTATCCGTTGGAAGCAACAGAGAAGGAGAAAGACCTTGGTTGATCACAGGATGACTATGAATCGCCAATGTGATGTGGCCATGAAAAAGGTTAATGCAATCCTAGGATTCATCAGGCGAGGTATTTCCACTAGATATAGGGAAGTGTTATTACCATTATAAAAGGCACTGAAGAGACCTCATCTGGCTTGTTTAGCCTAACAAAACAAAGGCTGAGGGGAGATATGATTGCGCTCTATAAATACATCAGAGGGATAAATACCAGGGAGGGAGAGGAGTTATTTAAGTTAAGCACCAATGTTGACACAAGAACAAATGGATATAAACTGGCCATCAACAAGTTTAGGCTTGAAATTAGACGAAGGTTTTTAACTATCAGAGGAGTGAGGTTCTGGAACAGCCTTTCAAGGGGAGCAGTGGAGCCAAAAACCTAACTGGCTTCAAGATTGAGCTTGATAAATTTATGGAGGGGACGGTATGATGAGATTGCCTACAATCGTATGTCGCCAATCTGAGACTGCTAGAAGCAAATATCCCCAAAGGCCAGTGAAGGGACACTAGATGGGGAGGGCTGTGAGTTATTACAGAGAATTATTTCCTGGTGTATGGCTGTTGAGCTTTGCCAAAATGCTCATGGTCTAACCGATTGCCATATTTGAGATCAGGAAGGAATTTTCCCCCTGTTCAGATTGGCAGAGACCCTAGGGTTTTTTTGCCTTCCTCTGTAGCATGGGACACGGGTCACTTGCAGGTTTAAACTAGTGTAAACAGGGGATTCTCTGTAACTTGAAGTCTTTAAATCATGATTTGAAGATGTCAGTAACTTAGCCAGAGGTTTATGGGTCTGTGACGGGGTGTGCATACTCCGCACTGGAGAAGAAAGGGTTAACCCTCACACTATGGGCGGCGGAAGTCCTGCCCCTCAGGCATGCTCCAACTCTACTGCCTCAGTAGAAAAGGGAGCAGCCCAGCTCATTCTGGGTGGATGGCCGGAGGGGAAGGACCTTCAGCTGAAGCTCCAGCTAAAGAACTGCCGCAGCCCTTGCTTGCAAGAGCCAGAGACCCCTCGAGCTGGATTGGAGGCCTGGAGCCCAAGGAGCCCCAGAGGACCATCCACGCTGAGGAGCAGCTTCTGGAAGTACGGTAGGAAGTGACCCAGGGAGAGTGAGCAAGTGGTATCTCCTACCCGAGTGAGGTCAGCGTGTTTCGGTGGGATTCCCCGCTGACCCAGTGACGGACCGCTCCGTCACTGTTAGGGCCCTGGGTTGGGGCCCGGTGGAGTTGGGTGGGCCCGGGCCCCCCTACCTGGGCTGTCACTCGCCCCCGGTGGCAGCCATCACCGTTCCCCGCCATATTGACTCTAGCCATTAGGCTGTAACTCCGGCCATTGGGCCGCACCGCCCTGAACCTGAGGGTTGTTAGCTGAACACTGGCTGCTGAGCCACCCTGCCCTGCACCCGAGGGCGATTACATGGATTCTAGCCGCTGGGCCGCACTGTCCTACTGTTACTCACACCTTCTTGTCAACTGTCTGAAATGAGCCACTCTCATTACCACTTCAAAAGTTATTTTTCCTCCCTTGGTATCCTGCTGTCAATTGAATTGTCTCGTTAGACTGACCTCACACTTGGTAAGGCAAATCACATCTTTTCATGTATCTATACCTGCTCCTGTATTTTCCACTCCATGCATCTGGTGAAGTGGGTTCTCGCCTACGAAAGCTTATGCCCAAATAAATTTGCTAGTCTCTAAGGTGCCAAAAGGACTCCTCATTGTTTTTGCTGATACAGACTAACACGGCTACCCCTCTGAAACCTATTACTCTGTTCAGTAGTACCTAACTGTAACAAATGTTACTTCTTCATTTTCAGAGAATGACTTTGAATACTGATTTGCCTAAGTGCTAAACAACCCACCAACCCCTGCCTAACAAATCAATTGACTCATGGGCTCATACGAGCACAAGGGAGACCAATAGATGCCATTTAGAGTAGTAACTGAATAATGAGTGCTACTACTTTGTGTAGACACTAGCTCTTCAAAGCTCCTTGAACATTTATTCATCCTTCTAGTTGCTCTGTAGTAGTTCTGTTAGACTAAAGATAAAAGTTTTACAGCCTTGTTGGAGGAATTTGTCTTTCCAAATGAAAACAAATTGTCTGAGCTTTGTGACTTTCATATGACTCTCTAGACTGTAAGACCCTTACATCCTGGTTGTATTTGTAGTAAAATAACAGGCATTTCCAAGGAGAGCCAACCATTCTAAGAGGCTGGGATTCCATTTGCAAATTAGGGAAAGATCCAGGTTGGTGGTGGTCAGAGATGCTTCATGGAGGAAGTAGAGTGAGAACTTTACAGTGTCTAGTAAAAAAAAAAAAAAAAGACCTTTTTCTTTCTCTTTTTTCCATCAGATAGCACAGTGCGTTTTATCAGAGTGTTTTGTTCCCTGGTTAGCAGAATTTTTACGCTATCATTGTACTTTCTTAATAAGTTATTGGTTACGGGCCCCTTGTTTGATACAAACTTGGACACAGTCACCTGCGTCTGGTTTTTTAGGAATAGCAGACAGACACCACATAACCATTGTGTCACAGAGGTGACCTAATTACAGTGGTCATCATAAAAGCACCACAGTATTGCCTGGCAGGTACTTCTGTACCAGATATGGACTGGTCACAGAGCAAGATACAAACCAGATGTGTTTAGGGTGACCAGACAGCAAATGTGGAAAAATCGGGACAGAGGGTGGGGGGTAATAGGCACCTATATAAGAAAAAGACCCCAAAAGTGGGACTGTCCCTATAAAATTGGGACATCTGGTCACCCTAGATGCGTTCATCATAGGATGCTTTAATGTTCTGCCTGGCATAGCTGAGTTCCAATAAGCTATTTTACATATAGCAGCACCTTGTGGCTGAACAGTAGAACACATTTAGCATTCCATTCCGTTGCCGTTACCATGCTATAGCTGTATTCACAATGGGCCACATTAATGAATACAGTGCAGTTATACTGAGACCCACTGTATTTCAGGCACATATTGCCTCTCCCTCAGATTCCAGCTGTGTCTGTCTCTGCAGAGAAGCAGTGGTAGGGATCACCAGCCTGATACTTAGGGTCAGCACTGTTCATCATCAATGCTGGCAGTGTCCACAGGCTGCTTTTGGGTGATAAACCCAACTTTTGTGCATCCCTGAGGCCTGGCGGGATTTCCCTAACTGAGCGCCATGAACCACTCAAAACAGAGAGTGTAAGGGAGAGGGGTTGGGCCTGCTCTGTGCCTGTCTGACTTCAAATGGAGAAGAGGCCCTGCCCACAAACTCCTTTGCTCACACGAGTCAAAACTTAAAGATGGAGGCTGCTCCTAGAGCTTGGTGGGATGATGGTTATTAAATCTCTGGTGGCAGCAAAAGAGGAGACATCAGAAGAGGACCGTCTACTCCAGCTTGAACCAGGTTCCGGCTGTCATAGTCAGGAGCAGTCCTTGTGACAGTGACAATTTGTCTGGGGTGACCTGGATCTTGCAAACTACAGATAGGTCCATTGTATGCAGGTGTGAGAGAAAACCCTGCTGGAAAGTTTGCAGTGAAACAGCCACCATTTTCTGCTTCTGTCTTATTTAAAGGGAGAAGCAAGACTCATGGCAAACCAACTGATAGGAGCCCAGTGTGGGGTTCCCGTAGCTTCTATCTGTCATGACTTGTTTTTTGTCATTTCTCAATTTAAATGGAAAGAAGAGTCTCCCTTCTGACTGCTTGTTTGCATGTCAGATGTAGCTTGTTGCAGGGGGACGCTCGCTTGCTCGCTGGGCAATCCTGTGGAGATATTTCTGTTCTTGTTTTGCTGTTCTCCAGATAGAAAATAAAGGTCATTCCATCTGAAAGCTCCGTCTGCTCTTTCTTTATGGAAAAACGCCCCAGCGTGTGAAAACAAAGCCTTTGTGAGAGCCTGTTTTCCAAAATGCCAGGTGCTCACTTTGTGTGCCTTTGTGCTCCTCGGCTACGCTTCAGCCATTGCCTGCTAACTAGGGACAAATGCACAGAAATGGTCAATTTTGCACCTGATTGGCCACCGGTGCCTGATTTGCATATTTGTTCATGGAACGGCATGCCAAACGTTTCTGAGATCAGGCACACGGCGTGTAACATTTGCCATCGTATAACAAAACTAATGTATGCAGAGCCTATCAAACTGTTGTTTTCACAGCAATGAGAGCAGTCACTGCCTAGCTGGAGCTCCTAATCTACAAGCATTTGGTGTGTGAGTGACTGTCGTTGCCCACCAGTGGATACAGAACCTGCTACTTAACAGGACATTATGGAGTTCTTCAGCACCATGGCTTTTACTCTCTATCTGGGGTTTTGGCACTAAAGGACATGACTCTAGTCACAGCTGCTCTCCAGGTGTGATTTAGCTATAAGAGTCTGTCTGCAGCATATGGATTTGTTACAAGCTTCCTAGATAATGCTAGAAGTCATTTATCTTTTTCCCAGTTAGAAGGACCCCATTAGAATTTACTGGAGACTGGACAGAGAGTGCCTGGCTACGCAAAAGCAACACATATCCTTGAGAAAGTAGGAAGGATTTTTTTCATTTGACAGTTAACTGCAGAGTGGGTTTTTTTTTAATAAGCTCACAAAGCTTTCTTAAAAGAAAAGCTATTTTTCCATCTGAAATATTTTCATTTCATAACTGTGTGCGATGTCTAACATCCAGAAAGTCCTTTGCATGAAAATGTAGCTAAGATGTGTCAAAAAGTGAAGTGAGCAGTGCTGGGGGGGAAAAAAACCCTGCCAAATTTGCTCTGTGCATAGAGATTGTGTGTACATTCTGACCTGTCTGAACCAGAGCAACAGATAATTATATATGTGCAAAGCCTCTTTTAGACCGGGGTGAACAACAGGGAGAGAAGCCATTTTCTGTGTCTCCATAGAGCTGAAAGAAATCTCAAATATTTCTGGTTGTCTGCAGAACAGCTGGTGAGTTCTCATCTATGAATCTAATTAAGCATATTCCTTGCCACAAACACTTTTAGTTCTATTTTTGAGATGCTGAATGTCTCTCCAAAATGTACCCTGGAGCATATTGCTTTCATACAGCATGCTTCTAATCCCCATTGGAAAGCTTTTTTCTGTAGCAAAATGAAATTGCACTCATAGGCTAACTCAAAACTCACTCAAGTAAATAATATTGATTGATGTCTGGGTATCAATAAAGCATCATGAATTAATGATGGTTGAATTTAATGCACCGGACCATGGAAGCTCCTCTTCAGCCTTGCAAGAATGATGAGAGCCAAATCCCAACCTTAAAGCCACATTTTCAAAACTTGTCTTGGTCCAGTGGTTAAGGCACTAGCCTATGATTTAGATTGGTCCCTGCTCTACCACATGCATGCTGCCTGATCTTGGGCAAGTCACTTAGTCTGCCAGTTCCCCAAAGCACTTCCCTACCTCACCGGGGCATTATGAAGATAAGTACGGTACCATTTTGGAGTATTCAGATATTATGGTAACGGAGGCTATCTAAGTCCCTAAAAAGGATAAGAATTTTGCTTACAGGGTAGGTTGCAGATGCAGTGTTGTGGAGTTCTCAGTGGTGGGCTAGAATGTAAGTCCTTAGAGGCCATAAATAAGTAAGTAAATAAATAATTGAGTGCAGATATTCTAGTTCACTATTATTGTGCATGTGTGCAAAAGGCAGCAAGTAAATTATCCGACTAGCATTCTTTGATCAGCTCTATTGCCTGCGTGGCTGAAGATCAGGTAGTTGGACGTCCCTTACCCTGTCTTTTCAGCAGTGCAACCTCACTGACTGGTGGGGCTACATTGACATAAAACTGGCCAGGCCCCTTCTGGGCTGAGGCCCTTTGGAAAATGTGGCCTCAAATGAAACCAGAACGTAAGTACTTTACATCTCTGTCGCAGCTGGTATCAGAGGATCCCAAATCATTCATTTATTCTGGGATGCTCATCACCATAGTGTTTGTCTCATAACTTCAGACTAACCTTACCCCCGTGAGCGAAGTAAACCGCACGATCCCCATTACCAAAAAGTGAAACCAAGGCCTAGAGACAGGTAGGGCCTTACAGACACTGGCTTGCACTGGGAGCAAGGCAGAGCCACTCTGCCTCCACAGATGCACCTGCCCTTAGCTTCAGACCCTGTGAGGGATGAAACATGAGCTCCCGTCACCAGCCAGTCTGCTCCTCTGGCTGTGGTATAGCGGCAGGGCCATGGCCCCACCGCTTCCTGCTCTGTTTGAGATGGCTAGCACCACTGTCCAATCATATTGAGAGAGTCTTTTGCCCTCTTTATGGTTTGGGATTTTAGCAGTTCTCATGGCATTTCAACACCTCACTAAGCTGTGGTGATGGGGTTTTTTTAATCGCTTATCTCAGAAAACAAAATAAACCGCAAATTAAGGGCTACTGCTATGGGACATTTCTATTGCTGTGTAACGAGCTGGATTCGGTGCGCTGATTTCCCCCCTCCGGATGGTGGGCAGTGGCTCAGCAGAGCAGTCGCCCCTGTGTTCGGGCTGCGTGGTCAAAGGAGTTTCTTTTACCTGAGGGAGTCAGCTTAGGAGGCAAAAATAAATATTAAGGAGAATTTTCTCTTTTAACCACATACTGCGCTTTGAACCCCAATATTTATTGTTCTGGCACAGAAGGGACTTTCAAGTCAAAGGGCTGGATTGTGCCTTTACAATCAGCCCTGAGTATTGGGTGGGGTGGCCTGGAGCTGCATTGGCCCAGGAGGAGACTGGAGAATGAATTGTGAGTGAGGCACCACTGCTCCCCTGTTTCCCTCTTGCTCTTTTCAGGGAGCAGCTTCCTCCTCTCTTTTTATGTTCTGTTTTTAAACAGTTTCTTTGCAGCAGTTTCAATCGTGTAAATGTTCCTTTTAATTTCCATGTAACTACATTTCACATTTTTTTGCCGTTCCCTTTTTTGAAGTGAAATGCTATTGTGGTGGGTTTCTTTGGTATTTCTCCCCCTACAAGGAATTCAGGTACATTATGGTTGCTATTACTGAGTGGTTCAGCTATATTCACCTCTTGGACCAAATCCGGTGGGCCACTTAGGACTAAATCACGAATTGCCTCTCCCCCTGTGGATTCCAGGACTAGCTGCTCTAAGAGGCAGTCATTAATGGGGTCTAGAAATTTTACCTCTGCCTCCCCTCCTGAGGTGACATGTTCCCAGTCAATATGGGGATAGTTGAAACCTCCCATTATTATTGGGTTTTCTGGTTTTGTAGCCTCTCTAATCTCATACCCCCATCTCAATTCCCTAAAGCAGTGCTTCCCAAACTTGTTCCGCCACTTGTGCAGGGAAAGCCCCTGGCGGACCGGGCTGGGCCGGTTTGTTTACCTGCCGCGTCCGCAGGTTCGGCCGATCTCTGCTCCAGGCCAATGGGAGCTGCTGGAAGCAGTGGCCCAGTACATCCCTCGGCCTGCGCTGCTTCCTGCAGCTCCCATTGGCCTGGAGCAGAGATCGGCCGAACCTGCGGACGCGGCAGGTAAACAAACCGGCCCAGCCCGGTCCGCCAGGGGCTTTCCCTGCACAAGTGGCGGAACAAGTTTGGGAAGCACTGCTTTAGGGAATTGAGATGGGGGTATGAGATTAGAGAGGCTACAAAACCAGAAAACCCAATAATAATGGGAGGTTTCAACTATCCCCATATTGACTGGGAACATGTCACCTCAGGAGGGGAGGCAGAGGTAAAATTTCT